TCATAGCGCGTCAGCTCGAGTCCGGCAGGGCTGCCGTTTGGCCTCCCTGCAACAGCCCTGCGGGTTAGTCTCAGCCTCGCCAGTGTTCCCCCCCCAACCGAGACAGTTCGTAGAGCGTTCCCTGCGCGCGCGCGCGCAGTGGACACTCTTTTACTTTTGGGGGGATTTTAATATCCCCCCGATAGTTTTTTTAAGTTTTCAGATTTTTGTGCACACCTGGGGACCGCCCCACGTGTGCACAGAAATCTCCCTCCCCCCCAGGTGCCCCCGATGTGCGGAAATAAGTATCCGCACACCAGGGGGCAACTTGGCTATTAGATATATAGATTAGGAGGTAGGGATCATAGACAGAATGCCAAACAAGACAGAAAAGTCCTCATCCGCTGATGGAAGACGGCAAGAGAAGGGGAGAGATGAACCTCCATTTGGACAGAGATAGCTATGAGAGAGAGATTCATCAGATCGTACTGGGGGTGGAATGGGTATGTACCTTTTTTGCACTTATGGCGATCCCTGTAGAGTTCTCAAGACACCAAAGGCACCAGACCTTCGGAGGTGGGTTGCCATGGCCTACCTCTGAGTAGACACTCTGGACTTCCTTGGTGGTCTCCCATCCAAATACTGACCAGGGCCGACCTTCCTTAGCTTCCCACCCTGTAGAGTTCTCAAGACACCAAAGGCACCAGACCTTCGGAGGTGGGTTGCCATGGCCTACCTCTGAGTAGACACTCTGGACTTCCTTGGTGGTCTCCCATCCAAATACTGACCAGGGCCGACCTTCCTTAGCTTCCCATAACTAACCAGCGAGATAGGAGTAGTGTGAGCTATTCAGGCCAGGGCAATCTGTGCCTAAACCCTGAGAAACGAGTCTCTTCTGCCTCCACCAGCAGCAACGATTCTGCAATATTTTGGATGCTATCGTTGCAATGGCATTCCCCCCCCCCTTAGCCCAGGGCCAACACGGCTCCCTGCAATGCTCTTTGAAAAGCAATGGCAGCAGCAACAAAAAATGCTAAACTGCATTGAACCTTCCTGTAATGTATCCATCAACGACCGCGTGCGCGGCTAGGTTGCCACGTGGTCATGCGAAGCGGCCAAGCTTCGCTCTCAGGAACAATGGGCCAAGCGGATCCTAGCCCGCACCAACAGGAGGGCTAGGCTCCCGGCCAAGAGCCCATGGAACTCTCGGCCACTATAATGACCAATCACTTGTGTGTGGGTGTGTTTTGGGTGTGGGATTGTTGCACATATAAACCTGCCTGCAAGCCGGTTCTAGTTGTCTTGTTCCGAACTAAATAAAAGTATGAGAGCTGAAATCGCTAGTAAGTATCAGTACTTTTCACTTCCCTTTCAAATCTGTTCCCCCTTCTCTGCCCCCTCCCCAGCTCGGGGCGTCTTCAGCGCGCATGGAGTCTCGCGGCACCTTAAACTCCCAACGTTCTTCCCGCCAGAGCTTCCCTCCCCGGGGCTTTCGACACGTGATGTCCTGTTTACCCAAACAAACGTGCGCTGCAACCGTGGAAACCGAATCCATTCCAGGATCTGCCAGCTCCCGGTAGGGAAATACCTGGAGACTTTGGAGGTGGAGCCAGGAGAGGGCGGGGTTTGGGGCGGGGAGGAGCTTCGGCGCCGGAGAATGCCCTGGAGTCCACTCTCCACTCCAAAGCAGCCGTTTTCTCCAGGGGAACTGATAGCTATTCCCTGGAGATAGTTTGCAATAGCAGGAGATCTCCAGGTCCCACCTGGAGGTTGGCAGCCTGAAGCGGTAGCATAAGCCTGCCTCTCCCTCCCTATTTGCCCAGTCGGGGGAAATTGAGGTGCCCTCTAGTGCTTTCAAGACTGACCCCCTGTTTTAGATGGGGGGGAGATTAATAAATTCCTTCTCCCCGCCCCTGTCCAGATGGGCCCCACTTTGGGATGCAATCTTGGCAGGTCCCCCGACTCCCCGGAGCACATCCCAGGACGGAGAGGGGAGACAATGCAGCAAGAATGCTGCAGCCAGGCTGCTGATGGGTCTCTCTAGACGGGATCACATCCGGCCTGTGCTGAAAGCGCTGCACTGGCTGCCAATGGCGTACCGGATTCGCTTGAAAGTGCTGGTTCTTACCTTTAAAGCCCTATATGACCAGGGTCCGGCCTACCTAAGGGACCGCCTTTCCCCGCATGTTCCCCCAAGGGCACTATGGTTGGGGAGTCAAAATCTCCTGGAAATTCCAGGCCCCAGGAACATCAAATTTGCTGTCACCAGGGCCAGGGTGTTTTCGGTGGCGGCTCCTACCTGGTGGAACAAGCTCCCAGAAGAGATTCGGGCCCTGTGAGACCTTGTGCAGTTCCGCAGGGAATGTAAAACGGAGCTCTTCCGCCAGGCTTTTGAGTAGGAGCCGCCGCCGCCACTATTCCATCACCGCTTTTCCCATCACCGCACTTTACCACCGCTTCGGCAGCTATCATTGGGGAGCGAGACGTTCCTGGTTGAAGATGGGATGACAGTGCTGCTGGGACGTATGCTGCTTGTCTGGTATTAATAACTTCAGAACCCCATCTTGTAATTTATGATATATGTGACCTTTGGAGCACCGATATTTTAGTGAATCGTATTGTAC